GCAAGGAAGGCTGATGAAGACCCTACCAGAAATATTGGGAGAACCACCGATGCCTCTCTGGTTCCGCATGGGATCATTCTGCATGCTGACGCCAATCAGAGTGGAATCAGAGAGCCCGCTGTGGAAACACAGAAGGACCCCAGGACAAGAGGCAAGACAATGAAGATGCGTGGGCAGGCCGGGGCATCTGGCTAAGCGTTGCTAAGGCCATTCGAGAGGGGTTGAAAACAGCGCAGTTGCAGGTTGCTAACAGCTTCTGCATGTATAATTTATACTCAGGATGCTAGCTGAACAAATGGTACGTGTTTCATTTCCTAGTAGGAGAAGCCTTTCTTGTTTATATATTTCACTGGATTAAATGCAAAGCATATACCCTACAAAGGGCTTGGACCTGCGGTATATAACGAACTCTTAAACCTCAATTACAAGAAAGATGGCCGTAGACAACAATAATGCACTGCAAGTTATCAAAAAGTTCACAGACAAGGGAATCAAAGGATCAGTTTATTTTGGCCCCCCAAAAAATATAAACTCGTATATATTAAGGGTCTTCAAAAGCTCATGTGAAATCCATATTATGAAAAATTCAACGTTTTTATACCAAAATGAACATATTTTTAAATGCTGTTTTCCAGAAACTCTTGGAACTATTCTCATATCCTTTAGGGAAGGATTTCTTTTAAGTGTGTTCCCACAAAGAAATGATAAACATTTGAGGTATGTGTACCCTGATTTCAACATTACACAGTATATACACATCTCAAGATATCTCACAGTACCCCATATATATGTATAATTCGTGTTGATCTAAAAATTAAAACAAATTAAATTACAGAATGCCAAAAAATCATCAATAATAGGAAGACAAATGATTCAGATTATTTTAAAGATTGATTTATTTATTTGAAAGTCAGAGTTACACAGAGAGAGGAGAGGCAGAAAGAGAGAAAGGTCTTCCATCCAATGGTTCACTTCCCAATTGGCCACAACAGACAGAGCTGTACTGATCTGAATCCAGAAGCCAGGAGCTTCTTCCAGGTCTACCACGAGGGGTGTAGAGGCCCAAGGACTTTTCCAGGCCATAGCAGAGAGCTGGATCGGAAGTGGAGCAGCTGGGACCCAAACCACTGCCTATATGGGATGTCAGCATTGCAGGTGGTGGCTTTACCTGTTATGCCACAGTGCCAGCCCCTAAATGGTTCTGATTTTTAAGATGAACCAAAGGTTTGAGTACACACTCATTTCACAAGAGAAGATATATGTATGCCAAAATAAGCACTTGAAAAGATGTACAACATCATTAATCATTAGGGAAATGCAAATTGAAATCTCAATGAGATACAACTACCCACCTAGTAGAGTAGCTAATATTTTTAAAATGGACCACACAAAGCTTTGGCAAAGATGTGGATGAACTGAAATTTTCCTGCACCGCTGATGGGAACGTAAAATAGTGCAAAGACTGGAAAACATCCTGGAAGTTTCTTTTTCTTAAAATTATTTTCTTCCTTTTTTAAATTTTTCTTCCTTCTTATTTAAACATGGTACTGAAATGCAGTACACATACCAAGAAAGGCACACAGATGTGCAGATAAGTGAGTTCTTGGTCCCCTGGACACACTCATAACCAACATCCAAATTAAGAACAAAACATTACTAGTACCCCAACTTCCTTAGAATGCACCCACTCTTCTATCCACTCATTCTACTGCTTGTTCTAGTTAATTATGCATCAATAAAGGTGTTTTTGAAGCATGTCTAAAATCTTGTGGGGAATTAGTACTTGAATGGAGCGAAGCAAACAGGTGTTTGTCTTCGAAGTTGTGACACCCCAGGGAGGTGGGGTGGCCCAGCTAAGTGGTGCCCTACAGAATGGCGTCTGAGCAGGCTCAGTGCTCCTGAGGTGCCCATAGCACATTTCCCTGGTATCCTTGAATGCTTTGGCATTTTAATGTTCCAATCAATTGTCTCCAACTAGGGTTTCCAGGCATGATGTGGCCTTGGCTTCCCTGTCTGCTGCTATGGGGACAGGGCTGGCAACTGTGACACTTGCTTTTTATGAATGTGTGTTCTGTGTATTTCATTCCTTCATTGTTGAGTATTTCCAGCTGAGACATGGACGTATCAGCAACAGAGTGTGTGGATTCAGGCAACTGTGTGTGGAATAAGAGGCAGCAGTAACCATTGCTGGCAGGATCTTTGCCTAAATGTTCATAAGGTGAAGGGTGGCGAGCAGGAAAGACGCTAGGAGAACGGGAGCACTGGTGCTGGCTCCCTCCCCCCGAGCTGTGCCCCTTTTCAGTAAACAGGAGACATAGATGCCATTGTCCAGCGTTGTTGGAAGGATTCAAAAGAAAACGCCTACAAAAAGCCTTTTCAAACAAAAATAATAATTTGACTATTGTTGATATATCTTAAGTACTGAACAAGTTCAAGTTAAGGGGAGTGTATTTGTCTGCTCAGGCTGCCATAGCCTACCTCCCTCCTAAGGAGATTGGAAGCCTGAAACCAAGGTGCCAGCAGGGTTGGTTTCTTTTGAGGCCTGTGGCTTGTCATGCCAGCTTCTCCCTACATGCTCACGTGGTCTCCCCTCTGTGGGTGTCTGCGTCCTAGCTCTCTTTCTTGTAGGGACCCCGTCAGATTGCAGGAGGGCCCATCCTCTTGACTTTGCTTTAGTTTTTTTTTTTTTAAACATTTATTTACTTATTTGAAAGTCAGAGTTATACAGAGAGAGAAGGAGAGATAGAGAGAGAGGTCTTTCATCTGCTGGTTCACTCCCCAGATGGCCGCAATGGCCAGAGCTGCGCCAATCCAGAGCCAGGAGCCGGGAGCTTCTTCTGGGTCTCCCATGCGGGTGCAGGGGCCCAAGTACTTGGGCCATCTTCTACAGCTTTCCCAGGCCACGGCAGAGAGCTGGATCAGAAGTGGAGCAGCCGAGTCTCAAACCAGCATCCATATGGGGTGCCAGCACTGCAGGCTTTACCCACTACACTAGAGCACCAGCCCTTTCACTTTAGCTTAATTACTGCATTAAAGACCCTATACAGACACATTCTGAGGTCTTGAGTGGTTAGCAGCTTCAACATGTCAGTTACGGGTTGCTACTGGCCCTTAAGAGGGAGGTAGGCAGCAGTGACTGGCGTCCAATCCTAGTTTGCTTTCCAAGTTACCAGTTACTGGAAAACAGATCATCTCAAGTGCAGCTGCGCCAGCACTTGGTGCAAAAGGGGATGGAAGCACCCAGCTCACACATCTCTCACTGGATTTCCATTTCTGCTCTGTCCCTTTGGCCCTTTCTATGGAGAGCCAACAAATCAACAATGAGGGCAGATATGGAGGCGGGACACAGCCTACCAGGGTACTTTCCTATGTAGCAGCTCAGTCCCCAAAGTGCCCCCCTCACCCACCCACCCACCCACACAGAGATCACACCTCCTGGGGAAGGCAGACAGAGCAGGTGGCAGGCCAGAGAGACTGAGGGTGCGGTGGGCAGGGGTGCAGATGAGGTGCAGGGCTGCAGATGAGGTGCAGGGCTGTTAATGCTATCTGGGATAATCAGATAAAGGCCAGAGTGGCTTTATCTCTTGCATTTGTTTCTAGCTGCAAGAGACAATGAGTGATTTAGGATGGGCTTGTCCCAGCAAAGAATTTGCTGCAACTTAGCTCAGTGTCTCCAGATGAGACGGTGGAAGAGAGCTGGGCAAGGGCCCACCCAGTGAGCCCTCGGGGAAGGGTTTTGGTTGTGTGTGCAACAAGGCTGGGACAGGGTGTACTGGAGAGTTTCAGGTCAGTGAGGCCTTTGCTGGGGCCCGGCTGCCAAGCGCCGGTGATTTTGATCAAATCGAGACCCTGAGGAAGAACTTGGGCAACTCGAGGGAAGTTGGCATGCTGCAGAAGCAGACAAGGCAGCCCTGCCTCCGTGCTGTTCATGCCACGCGGGCAAACACCCCTGTAGGTGGGGAGGGGACAAAACAAAGGCAGCAGGCCCCTGCCGATTAGTTCAGACACAGCCCGCCCGGCTGCCTGGCAGGGGCCAGGTGCACACAGGATGTGGCGTGTCTGCAGGCGGATGGATGCATCAGTATCTTGAGTCAGTAACAGCATCAACTTCCTTTGGGCACATCCTTAATCACCAGCAATAACTCCCCTTGTCATTTATCTGTTAGGATGTAGGCCTGCTGCCAACACCCCGGAGATAGGAACTCAGTCTTCAAGGGTTTTCCCTTTCAGGTGCTGGTATGTTTCAAAGAGCCCTCGCCACTGTTTGTTTTTCTTAACTCATTACATTAGGACAGTGCAGGCATGGGAGCCCCCTGAGATCCGGAGTGGGAATCTGTGCCTGTTTGCAGCAGGTGTGAGCACTTCTCTGGGAAGATTCGTCAGAATCTGCTTAGCCCAGAGAGCTCAGAATGAGGGGCCAATCCCCCACGACACTGTCCCTTAGAGAACAGATATCACAAATCGATTCATCGATTGATGCCGGCAGCTCTCCCTGGAGTCAACAGCAGCATCTATTTCTTTTCTTTTCTTTTCTTTTCTTTTTTTTTTTTTTTTTTTTTTTTTTTTTTTTTGACAGGCAGAGTGGACAGTGAGAGAGAGAGACAGAGAAAGGTCTCCCTTTGCCGTTGGTTCACCCTCCAATGGCCACCACGGCCGGCGCACCGCGCTGATCCGAAGCCAGGAGCCAGGTACTTATCCTGGTCTCCCATGGGGTGCAGGGCCCAAGCACTTGGGCCATCCTCCACTGCCTTCCCGGGCCACAGCAGAGAGCTGGCCTGGAAGAGGGGCAACCGGGACAGAATCTGGCGCCCCGACCGGGACTAGAACCTGGTGTGCCGGCGCCTCAAGGCAGAGGATTAGCCTAGTGAGCCACGACGCTGGCCTGCAGCATCTATTTCTCAACCCTGAGCATTTGTACTGATCGTCAACCTGGAGGTCACACCCTGTATTCATTTACCAGGGCAGCCGTGATCAAGGCATTGGCAACAGAGTGGCTGACACAACAGAACTGTGTTGTCTTACACTTCGGACTCCCATGTGCCAGCAGAGTGGACTTCTTCTGAGCACCAGAGGAAGAGGCTGTTCCAGATTGTTCTCCTGGCTTCTAGTAGCCTCAGACTTGCAGATGGCATTTCCTGTGCCTTCACACCTCCGCTGTCGATGTGTCTGTGTCCAAATTTCCTGTTTACCTAGGAACGGCGGTCACATCAGATCGGAGCCCACCCCAATAACCTCAGCCTGACTTGATCGTCTCTGAAAAGCCCGTTTCTAAAGACGGTCACATCTGCAGGTAATTGGCGGGGCGTGGGGGGGGGGGGGGACTTTATCATGCCGGGGCTGGGAGGGGGCACAATTCAATTCCTAAAACCTCTTCATCCCTGCCGTCACCTCAGCGCTAATGTGTGGGCCAGGGGGCCATCGTGAAGTCTGATGGGCGGTGCATCTGCCCAGACAACCCTGCTGCTCCATGGGCATCTCTAACAAGTCTGTGTGTGCGGATCCGGCCCCCTGCTTTGGCATGAGACCAGCTTGATCTGGAAGGGGCGGGGAGCAGATGTACAGCGGGAAGACGCCTGCCAAAATCAGGCTGCTCATAGGCGCGTACCCTTTATGAGCCCAAAAGGGGGCTGGAAAGACATTCCTCTCTCCTCCTTCATGTGCTTTCATTCGTTCAATTCCCTCGCTCCACCCAGAACACCCTCCCCACTCTCTTCATGGCCCACCCCAGCTCCTGCTCCAACACCCCAAATTCGTCCAGTCTTCCGTTGTCTTTCTTTGTCTACAAACAGGATGTGTTTACCTGCTTGTCTTTCAGCCCTTCCTAAACCTCTTTCTTCTAGGGAATGGGGTCAGCGCCTTTGGGGTTACTCTTGTCCTTTTGCAGGGCCCGTGAGATGCCCTGTGGGCATGAGGGCTGCACAGCCTAGAAAGCAGGCCAGCTGCTTCCGAACGCGTCCTGGACTCAATCTTACCTCCACCCTGCTCCCCTAAGAGCCCCAGCTCCCTACAATCTCCGCGGGCAGCTGTACAGACACCATAACCAAGAGTTCTCCCTACCTTAGGCACCTCCCCCAAAGTGGTCACCTCCCAGGGGGGCTTTTGAGTCTCCTGGTTCTAACCTGCGTCTCCACTGTCATCTCACCATGATGACCCTGTCATTTGCAAAGTGCGGGTGGCCAAAAAATCCTGCGGTCTCTGGCAGCAAATTGGCATGAACTTAGGTTTAAGGGCCTTGTGGACAGGGTATTTATTGGTGGTCTCTTCACTGCACTTTAAAGGAAATGATCTACTTGAAAGGAAGATAGGGCAATGTTCCTCCAAGTTCCTGGCTTTGTCAGTCTCTTGTGCCACCACTTGCTCTGACCCCTCTGGGTGTCCCTTCCACCGAGCCTGGGAAACTCCTTCATCTTTCAAGAACTATTGCACATTTCTACTATAAACAGCCTTTTCTGGTGCACACACACCCTCTCCACAGCTGTACTTAAGGAATTCTTCCCACCAGTGAGCTCACACCATGGCGTGGAAGGACCCAGTCCATACACCTGTGCCGCTGGCTTTCCTAGCTTTGCCTCCATGACAGCGAGCACAGAGACCAACCAGGCTGCTTCTCTTTGGTCCCTTTCCTCCTGGACATGCTCCATGTTGCAGGGTTCAACTCGGTTTTGTTTACTTTTACCTGGGGCCTCTTTGGTTCCAGAGGTCAAGACACAGTTGTCAGGTTCTATTAAAGTCCAGAGCGGACTTGGGACCAAACAAGGGATCAGCACTGCCGAAAGGGACAACACCCCTGGCTCAGATGTGTCACAGCCCGGCAGCCTGAGGGTTGCCAGGAGGCAGACCACAGACAAAGGTCAGCCTGCGGCCAGGCTCCCTTGTGGGAACAGACAGTTGGCAAGGTCAAGTGGAATGTGTGCTCTCCAGCAGTAGTCCCCAGCGCCAGGCCATCTCATTATTGTTACCGTACCTTTTCTATGAAGAATCAGAGGTGATTACAGTAGTGCAAAATGTCTGTCTTGATGCCTGTCTTGGTAAAGCGGAAAGCTGGTCACCCCACGGGGTCCACCAGTCTGGAAAGCCTGCAACCACATCAACACCTCTCAGGTATGCTTGCCTGCTGCCTCTCCCCACTGCCACACACAGCCAGAGCCAGTGAATGGGTGCTGGCTGGGTTTGGACCAGCCCAAATCTCCAGGACAGCTCAGCACTGCTGATGGAGGGAACACAGATGCAGACCTGGGGGAGCTCAGGGCGCTGTTGTGAAAGTGAAGCCCCCAACAATACATCCTCTATGGCCAGATTACACTCTGGGCCACTGGATCCCCACCCACCCAGGCAGGTTCAACTGCTGTCCTTTTTGTATCCTGGGGCTCTGCTGCTGGTTCACTTCCAAGAAAAGGCTCCACTGGTAAAACAATTTTTAAAAAAATTGGTTTTCAGACCCCAAAATTGGGTCTGAGCTCCTCATTTCCTAGTTGGGGAGAGAAGAGGCCCTGACAGGCTAATGAGAGGTCCAGCATCACACAGCTTGGCAGCTGGGAGGTGACCAACCCAGGCCAGAGCCAGGTCATTCATCTGGGCTTGTGTCATCTCTGTGGCATCCCTTTTTGGCCACACCTGGCACAGCAGATAACACAGCCACACCCAAGCTCTCAGGAACCCAAAGGTCACTCCTCTGAGAAACAGACCTCCCCATCCAGCCCCAACCTGGGGTGAGGTCATGGGGGTGGGGCAGCAGAGGTACCAGCTCAAGGATGAAGATTATGGATGCCACTTTTCAAATTCAAGTGAATTTTTATTGGACTCTCCTGAACCCTCTACCTGAGGTTCTTGATGAGAAAAGGCAATGGGCGAATGCCCCCAACAGGTGGTTTTTTTTTTTTTTTTAGCATTCATTTGAAAAGTAGAGTTAGAGAGGGAGAGAGAGAGAGAGAGAGAGGGAGGGAGAGATGAGAGATCATCCATCCACTGGTTCACTCCCCAAATGGCTACAACAACTAGGACTGGGCCAGGCCAAAGCCAGGAGCTTCATCCAGGTCTCCTACATGGGTGGCAGGGGCCCAAGCACCTGGGCTATCTTCTTTTGCTTTCCCAGGCACGTTAGCAGAGAGCTGGATCTGAAGTGGAGCAGCTGGGACTCAAACCGGTGCCCATAGGGGAGGCCAGTGTCATAGACAATGCTTGACTCACTGTGCCCTAATAGCCCCACACCTGTTGTCTTGGGGAAGGGCGACAATAAGACCTGAAGACCATGGGCACCTGAGCGTGCAGGTTTTACTCTCAGCAGTGGCCCTGGCTATGAGCCAGCACTGGCCCCGCATGCTCATGTGTGAGCAAGGGTGGGGCGGGCCACTGAGGTGCAGGCTCCTCTACCCTACACCAGGCCCTGTCCTCTCACCCGGCTTTACTTGTTCTTATTTGGTTCCTGGAGGCAAATAGGCAGAGGGAGTTCCGGTCACTTGCAAGGGGCGGGGGGGACAGAGGTCCCTGAAGTTACATCTCACAGAAGCAGGGAAGAGACCTGAGTGTTTGTTTGTTTGTTTGTGTGTGTGTGTGTGTTTGACAGGCAGAGTTAAGACAGTGAGAGAGAGAGACAGAGAGAAAGTTCTTCCTTCCATAGGTTCACTCCCCAAATGGCCGCTAAGGCTGGCGTGCGATCCGAAGCCAGGAGCCAGGTGCTTCTCCTGGTCTCCCATGGGGTGCAGGGCCCAAGGACTTGGGCCATCCTCCACTGCCCTCCCAGGCCACAGCAGAGAGCTGGCCTGGAAGAAAAGAAACCGGGACAGAATCTGGCGCCCCAACCGGGACAGAATCCGGCTCCCCAACCGGGACTAGAACCCGGGGTGCCGACGCCCCAGGCGGAGGATTAGCCTAGTGAGCCCCGGCGCCAGCCTGAGCTTTTTGCTGGCATGCCCGCTGCCTTCCATGACCACACTGCAGCCTCTGCGGTCTCCTCCCTCGCACAACGAGGGCTCACAGGCCTTCTCCACGCTATCGCTGTGAGAACAGGAAGAAAGGTTTGCATTCTCGCCCCCTCCCAGCTAAAAAGAAGCTGCGAGGTGGGGGAAAGCAGCCCTAAGTGGAAGCCAAGATGGCCCCTCTGGGTACGGGGTGCTCTGGACAGAGCCCTCATTGCTCTGGGAGCATCCGGCTTGCTCTGGAGAGAAGCAGCGCAGCTGAGCAGAGCAGGGTGAAGGCATGATCCCAAGCGCCCTCGATGGACGTTCTCATTTCCCGGCTGCCCCAGAACGGGTGTCAGCTGAATACGCATGCGTGGGTAGCCACCTGTGGGCAGTGCTTCCAGGGCTGTGTGGCCCGGCTGCAAAGTAACAGATTCAGGACAGGGAGTGACTTGGTCTGTTCCTACCGGAACATCAAGGCATGACACAGCCTGTGTCGGGCTAAATGCAAAAGGCAAGGAATGAACAGAGAAACGTCCCAGGAGGGTTTGGGCCCCTGGTTGGACCGCTGTCTTTGGTTCCTTCTCTTGTCCTTTCTCTCACCAGCCACGGTAAAGGTGGAGGTTATGGGGGCACAGTGCCAGGCCCCTCCTTCAGCTTTTGGGGGTCTTGGAAATCAGCAGAGAGAAGTTATAGGTCAGACTTCACGTTTCTGTGTGCAAATGCTGACATCTGATTCCTGGCTTTTAGCAGCCATTTAGAAAACTGGATTTTGTTTGTTTGTTTCCTGTACAGTTTGCTGTGTGGGGTTTACTCCTGGACAGATGGAAAAGGTTGAAGATAACCCTGTGAATAAATGATGGACCTCTGTATTTTTCTTCGCAGACTTCACCACTTTGACAAGCTTTGACTTCCGGGAGCCTGACAACCACACTGCAGGGTAGATGATCTCTTCTTGTTGTCCTATTTTGCAGGTGAGAAGACTGAGGTCCAAGGATGCCCAGGCATTAGGTACGCTGTCCCCCAGCTCCTGGTTCATCCCTCACCTTACCCAAAACCTGGGATCTGGCAAGAAAGGAAACCCTTCTATGAGCCAGAACCCTCTGCCGGGTTCTGTCAGCAGATCTTGCCACCTGTACAGCGACAGTCTGGCCCACCTGCTCACTGCCTCCAGGTAAGGAATCCACTGGGTTAAGACGGGACTGTTCGTAGGGATCGTAGGGCATGTTTGCCATCCAGATGGGACTGGGCTCCAACAAATGACAGCAGGGCCACCTTCGTCAAAGCAGAGGGGGTGGCAGCTCAAGCTAGAAGCTGACCCTGCAGGCTTGAGGCAGAACCTGCTCCCCCAGGAAAGCTCAGTTTTCATCTTCAGGATTTCAACTGACCCACTATAGACATTAACCCCACCGCAAAACACTTCCGGAGCAGCAAAAGGTTGGGTCCTCGATCATGGCTGGGCTGACACATTCAACATACTGTCCCACCCCCGGAACACATCACTGGTTTTCTAGGGCACTGTGGGGGCCTGGGTGAAAAATTGTACCCTAAACTCAAGTCTCCAGGATAAAACAGCTAAGCTAGTTCTTTCTTGGTGTCTCCTGTCTCCTCTGATGTAAACAAAGGACTCCACTAAGTAGATGGCTCAGGAGAATAAGGTTTTAGGGCGGAGGGGAAGGAAGTTGAGTGGAGGCAGGCCCTTGGGGGAGTACTGGCTGGCTCTGACATCGAAGGGAAGCAGGTACCCAGTGTCCTAGTTGATATCCAGGGACCAGACATTCCTGTATTAAACAGCCAGAGTTGTGCACTAAATGGGGTTGCAGCACACATAAGGGGAGCAAAGACAGCAGCCAACAAGAACAGACACAGAACAGTGAAAATCCATAACCAAACGTGTCAATCCCTGGTTGGTTTCCATTAACTTCTCTTGGCATGCACACCTGCCTCCAAAATTCACATTTTCTCATGATTGCCATCCAGTTGATGGTCAGCTTACAGCAGTTTAAGGGCTGACAGTACTAAGAGGAAAATGAATTTAGACAGGTCAGCGTGCAAGGGGTCCTGGCAATGTGTCTGTGCTGGGTCAGCCTTCTGGAAAAGGGGCAGAGTGCTAATAGAGGAACTGAGCAGGAAGTTAGGTAGCAGCAAATGAGATGGGAGATTTTCCCACATCTTCTATCTCGCACCCCTGTACCGAAACTCCACCCCCTTACATGTCATCCAGTATACCCACTCGTTCCCATGATGCACCTGCATCTCATCCGGACCCGGGAAGGCGGAAGACAGCATGAGGAAGCTGAACTCCAAGAAGAGGAGCCACCCTGTGTGTATATTCGATTAGGGCACCACCCCCTGGGGACTGCTGGACACACAGCCTTTTTGCTCCCTGAAGATCCCTTCTCTCGCCTTCTCCCACCATGGGCATCCCTCTGACCCTCTCATGGGGAGCTTTTCTCCTCGTGGGATCACCTCCATGCACACTCGCATGTATTCTCACTCCAAATAAGTCACACTCTCATTTCTGCTTGTTATTTATGCCTTATCTTATTCAAATCCTTATCTCACGCAGGGGCGGGAACTTGGAATAAAAACTGGGATACATATTCCCACAACAATTTTGTCGACTTCTTCCAGTAATTCTGTTGAGATAAGGGCTAGCATGACACAGATCCTCCAAAAAGAGAAAGCCGAGGGTCCATGAGGTAAGTGCTTTGCTTGCCAGGGGCAGAGGTAGGATGGGAGCTCCAGGCGGACGGAGCCTCCTGGGGGTTGGGTTTTCTTTCAGTGAGAGTAAGTTCCATGGAGGGCATCGCATCTCCCTAACACTGCCTGGTCAAGGAAACTGAGATTTGTCCCTGTGCGAAGACCTCTGGCAGTCAGGGGAAAAGTGTTGATTGGGAGCTGGCCTGTGTTCACCAGGCTCTGTCCTCTTGCTTCATATTCCCAATCTTTCCTCTACCTGTGGGCATTGGTAAAATATAGAAACGTGGTCACTAAAGAGCTTCAGGAATTAGGATGCCAAATAAAACTGAAAGAGCCGTGGAGACCAATGGGGACTGTCCCATCAGGGTGATTGTGACCAAAGCAGCTAAGAGAATGAGAAACACCATGCCAAGTGCCAACAGTCAGGCTGGGAAAATAAGTGCCGTAGGAGCTCCCTGTAGGTGGATGGGGCCGAAGGGGAGCCAGGGTAATTGATGGGCCACTGTGACTTCCTAGGTGGACAATGGGCAAAGCAACCCCAAGGTTGATCCACCGTTCAACACGCAGACAAGGTTGGAGAAGCAGAATCTGAGGTTCCCGTAGCCCAGAAGGTTTTCCTGGAAAGTAGTTGCTTGTGTTGATCAATGTGAGAAGCTGGGTCCATGATGCTTGTCCAGGAAGTGGAGCTGTTTCCTGCAAGGTGGCACCTAGGTGTGCATGTATAGCAGCCCTCATAGGGAACCCAGAGGAGGAACTTGGTTTTGAGGAAGACGCTCTTCGCCAACTTTAGCCATTTCCATTGTTGAATATCATGTGTGACATTGTGAAATACCTATTTGGTATTCATCCCCATTCCTGGCATGTAACTCCTAAAATCCTTGGAATTTCTATGTATGCTAATGAGTTAATGAATGGCTGGGGTCTCCAAGACAGCTGCAGAATGGGACTGGTTACATGATGACCAAGGGGAATCAGAGACTTGAGGCTTTCAGCCCTGGTGATGCAAGCCTAACTGTTTTCATCATTAATCTGGGTTCTTTCCCCCACAGGGATAAGAATTCAAACCAGAAGTACATATAGAGCGTAAAAGGGAGAGCAGGATGTTATAAAAAGTGGGAGAGTGAACATCCATTCACACGTGAGCATGGACCACCCCACATGGAGAAATACCCACCATAAGTGGGCCAAAGGGTTACATATGAGGAGAGAGAGGCAGAGAGGACCAAGGGAGGTCCCTCAAGCATGGTCAAGGGAAGGCCTCCCCCTGGCTATCATCATGGTAGAGGGTGTTGGCTTAGTTGAACAAACAAAGAGGGTGGGGTCTTAGCATGCACAAAGCATTCTGAGACTTTTTTTTTTTTTTAAAGGTAGAGTTATAGACAGTGAAAGAGAGAGACAAAGAGAAAGGTCTTCCTTCCGTTGGTTCACTCCCCAAATGGCCTCTACAGCTGGCGCTGCAGCGATCAAAAGCCAGGAGCCAGGAGCTTCTTCCTGGTCTCCCACCCAGGTGCAGGGGCCCAAGCACTTGGGCCATCCTCGCTGCCTTTCCAGGCCACAGCAGAGAGCTGGACTGGAAGAGGAGCAACCGGGACTGGAACCCGGTGCCCATATCGGATGCTGACGCCACAGGCGGAGGATTACCCTAGTAAGCCACGGCGCCAGCCCCCATTCTGGGACTTTTAAGGCACTTCCACGTGGAGTTTGACTTCCATGTGGCCCTCCCTGGTCCCAGATGAGATACAGGTGTGTTCTGAGAAGGTGGGCATATTAGATTGACAAGTGATGGGATGCAGTTACAATGCAAGGATGGCAAAAATTCCAGATCACCTATGTCTATCTAACTTCCTGCCTAGTTTCCCCGTATCACCAGCCGCCAACCTCCAGGGAAGGAGCTAAAAGAAGTTGATCACCAGTGGCCAATGGTTTAATCAATCAGCCCTGTGCAACGAAGCCTCCAAAAGGACAGCATTTGGAGAACGTATGGGTAACTAAACACACGGAGGACCCTGGATGGTGGCACATCCAGAAAACACAAGGGGACTCTGTACCCATTCCCGGCTGCCTTGCCCTATGCCTCTTTTCATCTATACCCTGAGCTCCATGAGCTATTGTAGCAAATCAAACTCAAGGAGAGGGTTCTGGGATCCCTAGTTTAGATCCCATTGGTTAGAAGCACAGAAAACAACCTGGACTTGCAAATGGCATCTGAAGGCAAATGGGGAGGGGGAGGGGAGGGCAGTCTTGGGATGAGCCCTCAACCCATGGGATCCACTGTCCAGGTGGATGGTGGCAGCACAAAATTGAATTAGAGGAACATTGAGCATTGCTTGCTTGCTACATAGGGGAAATAGCCTGCACCCTAATGGCAGAAGCCTGTTGGATAGGAGTATAGGAGAAACTGATTTGAAGTTTGCTTTTCCTATTTAAGTGCAAAAGTCATGACTTGAAAGTTGTGGAATCCGTCCAACATTCCTGGGCCTTTCTGAAGTACAGGCCAAGTGGAATGGGAACAGAGCCTCCAGGAGTTCTCAGCTGCAGTTCCCAAAGGGAGACTGTTGGCGCTTTGCAATTGGTGAGGCAGGGCCAGTGAGCATTCCCAGCAGGGACAATGCTGCCGCTTCCCTGGGGACGAGTCCATCACTGTCAAGGCTGGACTAATACGTAATGATGAGGAGGGGTTAACATTCTAATGGGTCACTGAGTATTGCTGAAATGCTGAGCTAACCTGGGGCAGGGAGGCTGGGAGGCACGCAGCACAGCACAAGGGTTTGGACTGAACACCTGCTCCATGCCCGCTCACCACTGGGCAGTGAGGGGCTGCTTCAGATCTCCTGTGCATTGGTAAGGCTCATGTCCTGCCTTTCGTGCTGTCGTGAGTAGAGACTCAAGAGCCAAGGCAGAGACAGACTGATCATATATTTGAGAGAAAAGCCTCATTTTCCTGTATTGTCTGCTCTAGGCCATGCACACAGGCCCCATCTGAATGTAAAAGAGACAATGTATTTCTAAGAAAAATTAGTCCCTCAGGAAATTCATTGAAAGAGACACAGAGAACAGTTTAGCTTTGCTCTTGCATTTCTGATTGTTTTATTCCCTTTAGTGCAGTACTACGAAGTAGGGTCAAACAGAGGTGATCACAGTCATTAATATATGTTAGCAAGTATTCTAGTTCCCTCTCCTAGTCCCGTCTCCGGAAGAAGCCCCTGGTATGTCTCCTGAAGGTTCATAGTAAGAGGAAGCGAGGCCTCTTGCCCATGCCCATGTGAGTGTATCACCTGGAAACGGGTCCCCAACACAGGCTGAGGTCTTGTGTTGCACTGTGGCATAGCGAGTAAAGCCGCTGCCTGTAGTTCTGGCATCCCATATGGGTGCTAGTTCAAGTCCCGGCTGCTCCACTTCTGATCCAGCTCTCTGCTATGGCCTGGGAAGGCAGTAGAAGATGGCCCAAGTTCTTGGGCCCCTGCACCCATGTGGGAGACTCGGAAGAAGCTCCTGGCTCCTGGCTTCAGAGCAGCGCAGCTCCAGCCGTTGCAGCCAATTGAGGAGCGAAGTAGCAGATGGAAGACCTCTCTCTCTCTCTCTCTGTCTCTCCTTCTCTCTCTGTGTAACTCTGACTTTCAAATAAATAAATAAACCTTAAAAAAAAACACTTCTAGTGGAGCTGTCATTGCACACTACTTTTCTCATGGAAGTCTTTGGAACTCTGTGCCCTGCAGTTTCCAAAGTCAAACCAAACAAAGAGCAGACACTAACAGAAAGCAATGGACTGGCTGGGTAATTACAGCCTTAAGATAAAACCTTTAACACCTTTCCCAGCCAAATTTGTGATCCTACATCCTTCCTTTATGGAAGTCCTAGAACTGCCATCAGTCACTTCGAAAACCAGGCTTTCTAAATAGGAGACCATATCTCTAAACCTTTCCCTTTATCTCAGTAGGAGGAAATTGCTTAAATGCAGTGGATGCTGTGGGCCCTGAAAAGATTATCTTATAGGACAAAGAAATTACATCATTTCTATTTTTATTTTTATCACTTGTTAAGCCCCAGTAAAATGTAGAATACTTTTTTCAAGAAAATCCCAAGTCTCAGGAAATGCCTGCGGTAAGCTCAGGACCAGAGCTACAGGAGACCAAAGCAAGCACTAACTTAACGCTGACCCTCTAGGAAACGAACATGGAGTTAGAGAGACAAGACATGCCTGGGGCTGGCACTGTGGCACAGTAAGTTAAGCAACCCCCTCAGCACTGGCATCCCATATGAGCACCGGGTCAAGTCCCGGCTGCTCCTTTTCTGATCCAGCTCTCTCCTAATGGCCTGGGAAAACAGTGGAAGATGGCCCAAGTGCACCTGTGTGGGAGACCCAGAAGAAGCTCCTGGCTTTAAATCAGCTCAGCTGTGGTCATTGCAGTTAATTGGGGAGTGAAGTAGCTAATGGGAGACCTTTCTCTCTCTGTCTCGCCCTCTCTCTGTAACTCTACATCTCAAATAAATAAATAAAATTTTAAACAACAACAACAACAAAAGACATGCCTGAAATCAACTGGGGGAAAAAAAAAACGAAATTTAAGTGGTGATAGTGTTGGAGGGAAGAAAAAAACAATTTCTCTCTACTCTTTACTGGTCTTAGCTAAGGCAGCCTGCTACAAGCAAAAACAGATTAACAAGGGAAAAACAAACACTCGCTCGCTGACCTGTGTATCTTATGTATACATGGGAGGTATCCAGGGAAAATGAGCATATCTCAAAAAGAATGCTTTGAATTTAGGCTTCAATACTATCTTCAGTTGAAACAAACAAACAAAAAAAGATGTATTGGTCTGCTTCCTGTAGCAATACCAGAACACCTCATGCTGGGTAATATATAAAGAAATGGTTTTATCTGGTTAATGATTCTGGTGGCTCAAGGGTCCAACCAGCAGGTTGCCAGTGGCCTGGGGAAGGCTCCCTGGCTGGGTCATAATTATCTCCAATGAGACTCCCACTTCTCAAAGACCCCACCACCCTTCCACACCACTACATTAGAGCCCAAGCTTCCAGCACATGAACATTTTGGGGGTGTCGGGATACACATCACATCCGAACCCCCCCAATAGCAGAAGCATATTATGGAGGGCCCTAATGGGGATTTGACCAGGAAAAGCATAATAGACAAGAGTCAGGCTTGATAAATGGATTTAATTGAGTGCTACTCCATCGGTAAATCTCTTAGAAATAAGAATCAAGAATCACCCTCTTTCTGGTATGAAGAGGAAAACACACTTGGAGATTTCTGGGGTCAGTGTTGTGACATAACAGGTTAAGCTGCCACCTACAACACCGTACTCCCGTATGGGTGCCAGTTGAATCCCAGCTATTATACTTCGGATCCAGATCCTTGCTAATGCACCTGGGAAAAGCATCAGAAGACGGCCCACGTCCTTGGGCCACTGCAGCCATGTGGGGGACCCAGATGAGGTTCCTGGTTCCTGGCTTCAACCTGGCCTAGCCCTGACTATTGCAGCCATCTGGCAGATGGAAGATCTCTCTCTCTCTCTCTCTCTCTCTCTAACTCTTTCAAATAAGTAAAATGTCTTCAAAAAAAAAAAAAAAAAGGAGATTTCTTTGTGTAACTATACAAAGGGATAATTCCTCTGCTTTCAGAACTTCTGCTATTGTCTGAAATTCCTCAAAATAATTCACTCAAAACGAGAGAGCTATATTTATTGTGGTGGCATGCTCCGAATGCCAACATGGTGGCAAAGACTCAGCGGGCTACTTAGTTCTGGGGAAGGCATGCTACACAAGGCTGCTTGAGCCATACTCTCTGCCTGCAGAAGAGTCATTGTCCCAAGTTTGAACAAGTTGGTCCAAGCTTGTGGTTTACACCCAGTGTGTGGGAGAGACAGCAGCTTGGAAGGGAAAAGGCCTAGTCGGAGAAGACAGGGCAAGAGCAACCTATCTGCTTCCCAGCGTGCCAGGGACTTGGGACTGGGCTGGCCTAGATGACCGTTCATACCCCGTACTAAGGGAGATCAGATTATTCCATCTCAAATACACTTCATTGCCACCTTTTGAGTTGGTTGTTCAGAAAACTGCAGACTTCAACATACATAGGCATAGCTCTGAAAAGCTGCCTTTTTGTAAAAATATATTTACATTTATCTTCATCAGTAAATTGCTGACGCAGACAGAAGTCTTACTTTTGATACCCCACAATCTGCTTAGGAAAAGATCTTTTCACAAGGAAAAGAGACTTAGGATCTCTGACATCTGGCCCAGACAGGGATTACAATAGGTTGCCTGGGAGACTTTATGTGTTTGGGATATTTTTCTCCCATCATTCTTCTGTAACTGGCCATTACAACCTTCCCATCCCACACTCAACACCCCACACGCCCACACCCCTGCACAGCAACCTCAAGCCCATACTTCTCTCTGTAGCTAAACTTGCTGTTTAAGCTTCAACCATCTGGGCCTTCCCTTGAGTCTTAAACTTTTATATGGATCCCTTATTTATACAAATAAATATGGATATATTTGTCTTCCGTTAATCTGTGTATTGCTGGTTTATTTCATAGACTAAAATTATTGAAGCTTCAGAAGGAAAAGAGGGACGGCAAAACTTCCATACAATCATTTACTGAGGCATTTACCACATCATACACACAATCATATTTATTCTTCATAACAACCTAATGAAAGATAGTATTGGCCTCATTTTGCAAATAAGAAAACTGAAGTATAAAAAGTATGGTAACCCTCTAAGATCACTGAGCTGGTGGGGTCAGGGCTGAACCTATTCTCTAGGTAATACGGTCCAACCTCACCTTTCGGTGCTACCCACTGTGCTAGTTATAGCTGGTGCTACAAGCTATACTGGAACCTGTACTAGTTTCCTTTCCCCAACCCTTGCATCATGACTGGAAGTCTCCCTGCCATGAGAGCTGGTAGGAAAATTCTAGAGAAGGCATGAGGGGTCAGGACCACTCGGAGGGCGGCAACATTCATTTGCCCTTCTAAGCACTTTTGGCAGTGTCTTCATTAGCTTCGGGATTCTCCGAGGACTTCCTGTCTTCTGGAAACTGGAGATTAGTTCAAGTCCCGGGCAGGTGGCCATTACTAGATCCTTCCCAAATGCTTTGCCATGGTGGCCAAGAAAAGTGCTTCATTAAGTCTTGGAGTTTTCTTTCCTTAGCTCTGTGTCCCAACAGCCTGAACACATTCCATTTTTCCCAGCAGGGTGCTCTCTGCAGCCCAGGAAGCAAGATGCGCATTCACCCCTGGGATGTGGGAGGGCTCTGCTGAGGTCCCGCTGAGTGGCTGGAGCTGAGAAATACTACATCCCATGCCCCAGGGGACGTTCCAAAAGCTGCTTCAATCTGAGCTATAGGAGTCAGCAGCCAATGTATTTCTGGTCCATTGTCATGACTCACACTGATGTTCCGAAACATGAAGCCAAAGACCCGCAAAGCCCAGTCATCCCCAAGGCATGCAGTGCCCAGAATGCCTTAGTGCACTGACAAGAAGGAATTCTAACCAAGACCTGGAGACCAACGAAGGCCAGTTCTTTGCTGGGTTGTGCATCTCTGTAATGAAGAACCCAACACAGTCGGAGGTGTTTACCCAGAATCATCCAATGACGTCATTGGAAGTCCTGGCAGTGAAGGTTGGCCTCCTGCTGCCTCCCTTCCTCCCGGAGAAGAGGGGAGTAGACTTTGTAATGACACTCCCTCTTCTTCTTCCTCCCTCCATTTGGAGAAAGAAATCTCTGTTGCACATTGGGTATTTAATTCATGTGCCCCTAAATCCCCTCACCCTCAAATTTGATTTTTTTTAAGTTTTATTTATTTATTTGAAAGGCAGAGTGATGCAAAAAAAGGAGGTAGAGAGAGAGTGTGAAAAAGAGGGAGAGAGAGAGAGAGAGAAATCATTCATCCTCTGGTTCATCTGCAAATGGCCAGGCTGAAGCCATGAGCCAGGAGTTTCATTTGGATCTCTCGCATGGGTGCAGGGGCCCAAGCACTTGGGCCATCTTCCACCGCTTTCCCAGGCACATTAGCAGGGAACTGGATCAGAAATGGAGCAGCCAGGACTCTAACCGGCGCCCATAGGGGATGTTGGCATTGTAGGCAGCGGCTTAATCTGCTGGCCCCTTGTATTTCTATTTATGTGAATTTGTTTCTATTTTTGCTTAGAATTTAGACTTTAGTGTCCGTTACATCCACAGCTCATTTCTATTGGGGGTTATTAGAAGTGCCAGAAGCCAGGAGGTAGGAAAGGGACTAGGAAGACAAAGGCAAAGGTTACCACTCACCTTTAGAGACAGAGCCAGGAAACCCAGGACAGCAGTGCCAGCTTCAAAGTGTCCCTTAGCCTCTGATAGGACAGGGAAGTGGACCTGAGGGCTTTGCAGTGGAAAGAGTGTTGGGGAGGAGCCCTGAGAAATTCACATCTCTGGGGAAGAGTGAGGACAAGCCCTCCACTCAGCCCCTCTGCTCTGTTTCCCTGGCTCCTTAGGGGAGGACTGAGGCAGGACTTCACCTCACTGGAAGTCACACCATCAGAGAGCTTGGAGAGAGTGCATGCTCACTTAAGAATAAAGCCAAGAGGAGAGATGCGTTTTCCTGCAATTGTGAAAATGCAGTTATTAAAATAAATATACACTTTCCTGCAATTATGAAAATAAAAATAGCAATGTAGAAGCACGCTGTAACCAAAGGAAAGAAAAAGCCTGACATGTTTCTAAGAGATGAAACATAAATGAAAAAAGCCCATGAGATGGAAATGAATGACTTAGAATAAAGTATGAATATATACCGCACGATGAGTAGCCTCTTGATTCCTGTGATATGTATGTGTATGTGTGTGTGTTCAATGAACGTCACAACAGAAAACACACTCCTTTTCTGCCTTAGGCTCTAACCAGGGTGCAGGATGCTGAGTGCTGAGTGCTGGGTGCTGGGTGCTTGGAGTGGTGAAGGGAGGAGGTCCAGTGCCTGTCTTGGTAGAGCCAGTGAGAAAAGAGAGGCACCAGCGTGGTCTGACGGCCCAGAGCTGATGTCCAGGCATGCGGGTGCTGGGAGGCCTTGGCCTCAAACTGCCTCTGTGGTGCCTACGACTTTCTACTGCTGCTTGTGTGGGGGCCTCTCGTCTTGAGGCCTTTCTGGTTGCTTGTCCCATTGTGTCTCATGGCGCCTGAACTGAGCGAGGTGCAGCAAACAGGGAACAGAGCGGACCCTGGAATGCAGTACTTGTGGACTGTGTGATGCGCTTTCTTTATGTTCGGTGGGAGCCAGGGGCTTTGTCACATTGCCCTGGAAGCCTGGAGCTGCTGGGGCTCAGAAGATGATACCCCAAAGCAAAAACCTCAGAAGCCAAGTTTCTCACTTTCTCCTGCCCTCCTGTCTCTCACACCTGACTCTCCCCTTAGGCAAGCCAGAGTAGCTAGAATTCCCCTTCGCCAAGCGGAGTCCCAGAAACCACAACCCCTTCTTCCAAAGCCAACCACAGCTCTAATAGCATGGCTCTGACTTTCCCCCATCCTTCTGTGTACGGGAATTCTCAAACCTGCCTTGTTTGTTTGATCGTAGGAGGCATGAGACATTCATTCCAGAGAAGGCCCTGCCTTGTACCCAGAGGGATGGAATGACGGACAGAGAGGCCACGAAGAATCAGAACGGGCAGGCCCTGCTGCTTTGCCCCCAGCCCATCAGTTACTATCAGACCATACTCTGGCTGTCCAGTCCTATTTCCACACTGCTCTCCCTGCTTCACCAAACCCAAGAATATTGACAAACAGTTCACCCTTGGCCCTTGGGTCTCTAATCTGAGGGCTCCTGTGTCCTTTGAAACTCTGATAAAGCACATTTGCTCTGGGGTTCTCTGGTTGACCTGTCATTTGTTAAAGGGATATCAGCCATGGCCCTTTATAATGGTCAGGAAAGAAACCACCCCCTTTCCCATCCCCGCAGAGTTGGCATAAGGGTTTCAGCAGGTACCTGAGCCCTCCCACTATCTTCCTATGCAAGGGTCCCCCAGTGGCTGGTCGGGTGGGGCTGATAAGGAAGGGGGATGAGGAGGGTGGCCCTAGGCATGAGCAGATAGGCCACACAGGCAGGAGGCGAAGGCAGGCTCAGCTTCAGTCCCCTCCATCAGGCTGAGCAGAGCCAGGTCAGCCTTGTTCTCCCAGCTGTGAAGGTCAAGTTGTTTTTGGAACTTCAGTGGCATTGGGACCCCCATAGACATATTCTTGGGCATCCTGGCTGTTCTCAATGAGGGTGTTTAAGTTTGCACTTTGATTTCAAAGATAAACTATATCTATATCCAAATGCCTACTTTGGGTCATCTGGGTGACATTCCTAATGGCATTTCAGGGCCTCTGTTGGGGTTTTCTGTTGCTAAGCCTTGGTCCCACGTGACATTGAACACAAGCCTGTAACAAAGCTACACATGGAGATGTAAGACAGCCTGCTAGGGTAGGCATTGTGGAGCAA